ATAATTTTGACTATAAGAACCTGGGCTTGACATTTCATAAAGATTCCCAGGATCCTAGGCAAACATTGTCCAAGAGTACATGATTATCCACCAGAAAGTTCTACTCTCTGTGTTTGACTCACCAAATCATTAACAGTCCTAGCTATGGCTCTAGACACTGGAGGGGAGATAGCACATGGTTTCTGGGTGCAAAGTAGAAGTGCGTTTAACAGGAAACAGCATGAAAAATGGAGTTAAAAACTAACTTTCCCACAAAGCTTGATTCATGCTATTCATGGTCTTACATTTGTAATAGAAGCAGGCACAATTTGAAATAATTGATAGGATATGGACAGATACACAGAATGAATGAGCTGCTTTAATTGCTTTGACTTACTATATCATACTGAGCTCCTGAACATGACCAAGACAAAATCAGAATGATCAAAAGGGGTTGTGAAACAGGGAAGGGCAAAGATAAGTTGTTTCTTCATTTGAACCATTTAAATTTTAGTGGTCGGAGGGTTTCTTACTATAATCTCAGCATATTGGTATGGAGTACATGGAAATTCAATATTTCGTTCTTATTTGGTAATTCTTCATATGGGTGAATACAGTTTGTGAGGAAGCCATTCTTAGAATCTATGCTTGATAATCTGTCCCCTTACCTTGAGTGTTTGCAGCACAGGAGAGATGTTGAGAGAGGACACCATTTGCAAAGGCTCAGATGTATCAAAGAACAGGGTCCTGGGGGAGGCAAGACATTATGTAAGCCTGGAATCAAGGACATATTTGGCTAAGGGGCAGGAGCCAAATGTGGAGAAAGTTGGCAGAAAACGGATCAGAAGAGCTTTCAGTGTGTTCATGCTAAAAAAGTTTTCAGTGTTAGTCTATAAGCAATGGCCAATTATTGAAGGAATTTTAAGTAATAAAGATCTGCATTTATTTATTTTTAAATCCCTTTGGAACCAATGTGGCCAAACTGGGATCAGGAAAATTAGTTAGGTGGCTCTTGCCATTTGTGTAGGTAAAGAGGACCCAATGAAAAGTTGAGGCTGTGGGGATGGAGGGAAAGGAATGAGTCAGAGAAATTAATGAAACCCATTAAGTAATATGTTGGGAATGAGAAAGAGTGAGGAATCCAGCATGACATCAGAATTTCTGGATGTGATGATTGGGAGAATGATGATGCCATTAACTGCAAGGAGGAATTTCAGAGGAAGAACAAATTGAGGTTTAGCAATGATGAGTTCATTTTCAGACATGTGGAGTCTGAGGTGACTGATTAAATGCTCAGGTAGACCAGACCAGAGGATAGTTGGAATTGCGGTTTGAAGGTACCAATTTGGAAGTTACAGTACATAGCAAATAAGTATCATTTACCATATGAGTACACAAGATGACCTAGAGAGATTGTGTAGTATGAGAAGGATAAAGTGTCAAGGAAGATGCCTGGGGAACAACACTTAAGAGATGAGTGGAGGAAGAGGAGTTCACAAGATTGACTGGGGAGAACCAAGAAGTAGGAAGAAAACAGAGATGGGTGGAGAGGGTATATCAAAAGTCAGGGAAGCAGAGAGAATTTCAAGGCATGGGCAATAGTCAACTTAACAATGCAGCTAAGAGGATAAAATCACTGAAAAGTGCTGACCAAACGTAACACTCAAATTAGGGAGTTTCATTAAGACAGTAGGGGCAGAAGCCAATTGTAATTGGTTGAAAGGGGGAATGGATGAGAAAATAGATAAAGCAAGAGTGGTGTGGGATTTTTCCCAAAAAAAAACTCTGCTGTGAAGAAAAGAGGAAGGGCGAGAAAGAAAGGATGGCAGCTAGCAAGGATTAAAGAAGGATTTTGGTATCTTTATTTTTGCCTTAGATGGATAGAGCATGGTGCCGGGGAGCATGCTGAGAGTTGAAAGCAGGTTGATGTGGCCACTGGCCTCTGATCTCTGAGCAAAGAGACAATAATAATGATACCAAACTTACATAGCACCCACTATGTTCAAACATTCCTATATATGTTGTTTTACATATATTCATTCATCTGCTTCTCATAAGTGCCTTGTGGGTAGATTCTATTATCCCCATTTTACTTATGAGAAAGCTGAGATACTGAGAGGTTAAATAACCTGCCCAATTTGTGCTCTACCCACTACACTAAGCCAATGCATTACAGAGTCACCAAAACAATATATAGGTGTATACATCAGTTTCAGCTGATTCAGAAGATCTTGGGCTGAGAGGTGGAAAGCGGGAGAGGTGGGGACCAAGGCCTTTGCTGTAGATACAGGTCAGTTGTGTGATAAAGGGCAAGTTTCTCTGTGGAACATGTCTTAGCAACATTTTCATATTAAAAATTGAAGACTGATAAAGTTACTGGCTCATTAATATTATTTGACTCGTAACCGCCTTGGAAGAAGGTTAGCTGGGAACAACCAAGAGTTAGTTTGATGTGGCAGAACTGAACTAGTCACTAAAATGAAATAAAAAGGTTGGCAAGTAATTCAGGTTGGGTATCAGGGCTGGGATATGGGTGGAGGTGGGCAGGGGAGCGAGATGGAGACCGGTAGGATGTTGAAACAGAGTATCTTGATCACGTAGTTGAATGAAGCTTGAAATTACCTTCAGGCATTTAGTAGCAAACTCATGAAAGACTGGGTAAATTTGTATATTTATTTATTTATTTATATTTTTGTGAGGAAGAGCAGCCCTGAGCTAACATCTGCCAATCCTCCTCTTTTTGCTGAGGAAGACTGGCCCTGGGCTAACATCTGTGCCCATCTTCCTCCATTTTATATGGGACGCCACCACAGCATGGCTTGCCAAGCAGTGCGTCAGTGCGCGCCCGGGATCAGAACCAGCGAACCCCGGGCCGCCGCAGCAGAGCACAAGCACTTAACCGCTTGCGCCACCAGGCCGGCCCATAAATTTTTATATTTATAGTACATTTTTATCCCGACTGCTTAAGCTTTGCCTAGTTTTGGGCCTATCACTCCACAAAGGTGGCATTATTTGGAAATTTTTAAGAATGATTAGCAATCTATTAGTCTCTTACTCTAATATTATTATTAACAATAGTAACTAATAGTAACATGTATTTGGAACTTACTATGTCCCAGGCATAATGCCTACTGCTTTATAGGAAATATCTCAATTTACATTTATAAAAACGCTAGAGATCGCTCACTGTTATCCTCACTTGACACTTGAGGAAACTCAGGCTTGAAGATACCAAGTTCCCTGCCCAAGGTTGTAGAGCTAGGCAAGTGTCTAAGCCAGGATGTGCACCAGGTGGTATGAATCCAGAACTCAGGTGCTTAACCCCTCAGTGCCATATGAGAAATAGATGGTGCCCTGAACTCACCAGTTCTTTCAGAGTTGGATCGGGGCTGCCATATCCACATCCAAGATCAGCTTTAGAAAAACCTTGTCTCTAGTTCTACTGGCCAGAGTTATTTGGCGGTTGGTTTGTGAGGGCAAAGGTGAACCTAGAAAAATTTAATTAAAAGTGTCTTAATGAAAGTAGAGAATCTTCCTATGTCTATCTTGCCTGACTCTAGGCCATGAAAAATATTTCTTTACTTTTTCAATGCAAAAGGGATCTGTACTTTTGTATACACTTTGGTGGTGTAGATATTTGTGGGCTGAAGTTATAGTGAAGAAAGTCTCGTCGGCCATAAGGAAGGCTCTTGGGACCATGACTAAATATACCTATTTCAGTGGTTTTTATCCATCCGTCTCTTCAATACTGTACTTACTGTGCTTGCTGCTGGGGTACAGAAGCAGAGGCAGAGCCTGTCCCTGATTTCATCTTGTGGAGTTTATAAACTGGGGAAGGCAAAAATTAGATAAGTTCACTAGAAATATTTAATTGCTATTAAATTGGATTTTGAAAACTCTAATAAAATTGTAAATTTGACTGCTTCCCAGTTAATTGTTATAGGCTAAATGGTTTTGAATGCTGGGAAATGCCCTAGTTAATGAGTAAGAGTATGCCAGTTCTGTGCTAATAAGTGTAAAACTATCGACTCAAAGTATTGAAATAAATGAAAAGATAAGTATTAAAAGGGCTGATGTCTTATAAAATATAGTTTAAAATGCTGGGTATGTAGAAGAGAAAAATAGCAAGTCTTAAAATTCTCATTTTCTATGCCTTTATATTGCTTATTTATTTCTATATTATGAATGATTATGAAATAGACACAAATACTGATCACAGGCAGCTTTGGTATGGAAACTTCTTAAAAATACAGGTGTATCATAGCTTCTTTTTGCACTTTTTGTTTCTGCACTATTGGCCCAGAAACCCCAGAGAATTCTGAGGAAGACTGTGAGAACAGCAGCTCCAAGCCAGAAGGATCTGCAAATCTACCTTTTTCTTAGTTTTCTTTTTCCAAACCAAAACCAAAAGCAATAAAAGATATGTTCAAGCATATTCAAACCTTTGTTAAAAGTTTTGTTTTGCAGGCCAGCCCGGTGGCTCAGCGCTTAAATGCACGTGCTCTGCTTCAGCGGCCCGAGGGTTCATAGGCCCGGATTCCGGGTGTGCGCTGGTGCGCCACTTGTCAGGCCATGCTGTGGTGGCATCTCATATAAAGTAGAGGAGGATGGGCATGGGTGTTAGCCCAGGGCCAGTCTTCCTCAGCAAAAAGAGAAAGACTGGCAACAGATATTAGCTCAGGGCTGATCTTCCTCAAAAAGAAAAAAAAAGTTTTATTTTACATTTGGCATTAAAATTGGATGAAAGTTCTTAGGCAACAATTTTACTTTAAGCTTCAATCCATGCTAATTGTTCCCCATGAGCTCAGATTGGATGAAATTGTGTTTCTACTCCAACTACTTAAATCCTTGGAAAATTCATAAAGTGAAATTTACACCCTGTTGGAGTCTCAAAAGAATATCTATTTTCCTGTGTTGCGTGGACTGTGCTATGGTGGCATGGGGATGGTATTGGATTTTTAAATTTCTGATGTTTCGTTTTTGTAAACTCTTTACTTTCTTTCCCACTGACATCCCTACAGGCTCAGTTTGAACTTCAGGCCTTTCATATCCGGGGCGAGCATGCAGTGATAACAGCGAGGCTAGAAGAAACCATTGAAAATCTCAAGCACGAGATAGAACACCGATGGCGAGGAGGACGTGAAGAGATGAGAGATGCATGCATCTCCACCGATGATGACAGCCCTCCAAAGACCTACAGAAATGTGTGCATCCAGACAGACAGAGAGACTTTCCTCAAACCCTGCGAAGGTGAAGGCAAGACACCCAGAAGTAACCAAATAATACCCAAAAAGCTGAATATCTCCTCTTTAAGCCAACTCTCTCCCCCAAATGACAGCAGACACATCCATGCTCCTCTTCAGTCTGTGGAAGGCATCTCATCGAGTCAGCAGAAGGCATCGCCTCCCCCTCCTGCACCACCCCTACCAACACCCATCCCTCCCCCTCCTCCCCTTCCACCTGGACTTGAACCTTTGCCACCAGCACCTCCACCACCACCTGCGAGTGCTGGACCGCCACCACCTCCGCCACCTCCTCTGCCCCCAAGTGCTGGGCCTCCCCCACCTCCTCCCCCACCACCACTTCCTAACTCCTCCACTCTGCCCAACAGTGGAGGGCCACCTCCTCCTCCAGCACCCCCAGGACTTGTGCCCCCACCTCCTCCTGGACTCTTCTTCGGAGTCAGCTCTTCTTCTAGCCAGTGTCCTCGGAAGCCAGCCATTGAGCCCAGTTGTCCCATGAAGCCTTTGTACTGGACTAGAATACAAATAAGTGATAAGAGGTAAGCTCAACTCCCCTGGCCAATTCTCAGCTTGTGAATTCCCAGGATTTTGCACAAGTGATGTTTTATTCTTACCAGTTCAGCAGCATACTGTAGCACTCATTCTCAAACGTGGTTCAGTGAATGCCTTGGATAAACAAATTTGGAGTGTTTGAGGGAGAATGTCTCCACCAATTCTCCTCTGTATTCTCTATGGATTGATGCTAGGAGAAATGATGTGTTCAGCATCAGACCCCTCCTAAGGTAAGTGTTCCATTTTACAGACTAGAGAGGTGCCCAGGTTAGGCACTTAAGTTAGGCACATTCCTACAATTAGTGAGTAATCATAAAGAGATTGAGCCTGAATCTATACTGTGGGTTCACTGAAGATTTTTAGAATATCTGTCATCTTTAGATGTATTATCAACCCTATGATGTGGATATTTAAGAGGGATGTGTAATTTTTTATTAAAAGAACTAGACATGGCTGGGTCATTAGCTCTTTGGGTCAGAGGGGAGTCTTAAATATGCTCTCTCTGCTTGAACTGCTAACATCTTTATACCTTGTTGCCCTCCAGAGAAAGTGCCAATGTGTGGATAGCTAAAAAGCATCTTCCATTTGTATAGATTTTTAAGCTGAGTCTGTAAGGCAGCAAGATATGGTTGCTTAGAAACTTGCACTCAAACAGATTTGATCGGATTTCTTCTGCCTCATTTCGGAACCTGTCAAGAGGTCAATGAGAAAGACGTTGAGTTGCTTCTTGACGTCTCTGTAGGTTTGAAGTTCATTTGTTTGCAAAGAAATGCAAATATAGAACACATTTTTAACCTTAAATTTTTGTACTTATTCCCCAAATCAAGATGTGGTGGTGAATTTTTCAATTATATAATATTTTGCTTGAGGAAGGCAGAATATTGAACACAATAACATGCAATTCAAAATTATAAAGCAACTGGAAATCACTATAGGAGGAGCAGAGAACACCTTAAAACTAAGCATGTGGTGAACTAAGTTGATTATATACTCCATATTGGCCCCTTTCCTCACCAAAAAATAAGGGCCAAGAGTTTATTTGCAGAAAACCTTGGTATATATTTTTTAATGCTGGTATTTTATAATTTCCCAAATGAATGGTTAAAAAAAAAGTTAGACGATCCTGAAATAGCTCTTACCATTAACTAAAGTACTAATAGTCCCCTTTTCCCATTCAAGACTCAGATGATGTTTCCTAAGAAATAATTTTCCACAATATTTATTTGGAGCTGTGTTCCCGTATTAGTCTTCTCAAATTAATGTGCGGCTATTCCAAAGTGATGAATCCCACCTGTCAGACCTGGAGTCATGTGTTCTGACTGTTCCAGCACATGGAGCTGTTCCACACCTGTCCCACTAGCCTACCTCAGCTTCATTCTTTGCAAGACTTCACGAGCAACCAATATCACCGACCAGTGCAGCAGTGTAACAGTACCGCTGGGAGATCTGAGCCCTTCGCCCCGTGATAAAGGCAACCTGGAGATAATCATTGACTATGTTTTTCCCTCCTTACATTGCTGGCAACTTTGAGAAAGAAAATAATTGAATACTCAAGCGCTTATTAGTTTCACTATAATTCTCGGGCTTCAATTTTGAGCAAAATGAAAAGTAGGTGAATGCACTAACTTTCCTAACCTGGGACATCAGGAGACCCCTGCCTGGTGAACATGTCAAGCTTGAGCCTGAGTGTGGGGCATGGGTGGAAGGTTTCCTCACTCTGATCTGTGCAGACTGCACCGTGGACACTTCCTGTTGCACTGCACATTCAGTCTCTCTTATTATGGGTCCCTCAAAATGGTCTTCTGGGGAACTAGGAGTAAAATATGAATTTTCTCCATTATATGTACACTGCCTCCCATCCACCTAGATTGCTTTTCACTACTAACATGAGCTAATTTTTAACGTTGGCCATTTTGCCTTCTTTGGTGCCTGTTTTTTGGTTTCTGAGTAGGGAAGAGATATTTAGTTAAGGAAAAAGAAATCATCATCTATCTTAAGTGTTTGGCTTCCTAATAAGTATCTATCTTCCTAGTGAGCAAGTCTCTATCTTCCTAGTGAATGTCTCCTCCTTCCTCTCTCCTCCCCACCCCCCTGCCTTCCCCCTCCTCCTTCCTCCTTCTCTTCTTTTGAGCTAGAATTGTCTGTTCAGTGGTCAGAAAAGAGTGGACCATTATGACAGATGGTCCATTGTGAGCAAGTCCTTGTTACTGCCCCACCAAATGCCAGTTGCCCCCAACTCAGTGAGAGTTGATATTCCAAAATTCTTTTATTCATTATTGGATGTGCCTTTTCCCATAGCAACAATGTTGTAAATAGTGATGAAGTGCTGAACCTGACTGCCAAAGCCAATTTACTCCAGAATATGAGTGAGTTATAGCGCTAGTCATATTGGCCTGAGCTCGGAGTCCTTGGAGCTGGGGCCAAGTGGTAGAGGTGCAAGGGGGGGCAGTGGGTCTGAACAATCTGCCTCACGGGTCACATCACTTCCCTCTAGGCACCCTCTCCTCAACTTCCCAGAACTTTCATCAGACCCAGACCAGCAGTCCTTCATAGGCTGCATGCTCCAAAATTCCCTGACTCTCTTCTCCTATCAAGATCCACTTTCCTGAGTGCAGATGAGATAAGCACTTAACATTAATAGTGTTCATGTTTCAAATTTGAAGTTGAGTGAGTTGTGGAGGCAGGTGGCTGAGGAAGGGGCACATGGATGGATGTACTTCGTTGGAAATATTCTATCCCTTGGGTAATGATTTCACAAGTATTCGCTATACTGCTATACATTATAACTTACATATGTCACATATATACTCGTAAATGCCTCAAATATTATATTAGAAAAAATTTAATAAAAAACCAAAGTGTAGAGAGAAGCGAATGTGCCCAGAACCGATATGTCATATTTCATGGGAAAGGCAGATATAATGGCAAAATGTGAACACGCAGATCTGAAAAGCCAGTGTCGCCAACTGTTTTAACATGAAAATCACCTTTTAGTATCAAAAAATTTTGTGGACTGCCCCATATAATAATAGTTTTTTTAGTTTCCATTGACTGAGAAAATATCTATTGAAACAAAGGTAAGCACTTATAGATGTTATGGACCGTAAGATATACATATGTTTGAAAAAGAATAAATGTGTAGATAAGACATTTTTTTCTGTCTGTGGGCATTAAAAGTTTTTAAAGTAAGAAAGTTAAGAAAGTAGACATTTGGGAGAAAATATTTTCTAAAGGGAGCCTGAATAGTAACCCATCTGAGTCAGCTCTCAGAGGCAGTTCCTCTATACCTGATTTTAGATCTTCTTCTCTTTCTTTGTTTCAAAACTAGGGTGCCCCTGTTTTGAGAAGACAAAACAAAACACAGTCTCCATACGGCTGCTTTAGTTGAAGTCCCTTTAGGGGCTGCTACGATGGAGTTTTCTGATTTGTTTTTATGTTTAATAGTGTTGTTGGGGCAGGATATAATAAATTAAGTATTTCTAAATGAGCACAGCCTGTTCACATATTATAGGTCCTGCACTGAGTTGACCTGAAGTAATCCTGAAAACCATATTTAAAACTAGTAGAGAGGCCGGCCCCGTGGCATAGTGGTTAAGTTCAGCACACTCTGCTTTGGCGGCCCGGGTTCTCAGGTTTGGATCCCAGGCGCAGACCTATACCACTCATTAGCCATGCTGTGGTGGTGACCCACATACAAAATGGAGGAAGATTGGCACAGATGTTAGCTCAGGGCTAATCTTCCTCAAGCACAAAAAAAAAAAAAAAAAGACCAAGATTGGCAACAGATGTTAGCTCAGGGTGAATCTTCCTCAGGAAAATAAAAACAACTAGTAGAAAAAATCCAGAGAGGGTAACTCTTCACCTTACTACACCATTCTCATTCTATTTAAGAATTATCCCATCAACGTCTAAAAATTGGTTATCTTTTCAGCCTTTATAATGCCCATATTTACCCATTATGGAAATGCCACAGACTGAGGGAGGAGCAGTTTACATGACCTCAACAACCTGAATCCTAGGATTTCTGGTCCCACAGGGTGTCTCTAGATCTCCTTCTTTGATGTAGTATATTTTGACTTTAAAAAAGAATGTGTAACACAAAAAGCTTTTCTCTAAGTTTTATTAGAGTTGTATATATTTTTTAAGAAATGAGTTAAAAAAATGAATTAGAGATTTCATTGTATTTTGTTCCCTTATGTTTTGGTTCTTAAGTTTAACTTGTCATTTTCTCTTTTAAGCCAAAATGCTACACCAACCTTATGGGATTCCTTAGAAGAACCAGATATTCAGGATCCTAGTGAATTTGAGTATTTATTCTCCAAAGACACAACTCAGCAGAAGAAAAAACCTCTGTCAGAGACCTATGAGAAAAAAAACAAGGTCAAAAAGGTATTTGGTGACTATAGTAATCATAATTATACATATATTTTTTGTCATATATGGGAATTCATTATGTGCTACTGGTTTGCTTTCTCTCTGTTTTCAAAAAATGTTTTGGAAGGTTTTGAGTCACAGATGACAAAAAGAAGCCAATAGTTTGAGAAATCTGTACTTGATATTTTGGTCACATCATCTGAATTTTCAAACTATTTTCTTAATTTAATCTGGACTTTTTTCAGCCATTAATTCTATTGAAAAAAATGTAAAATTTATTTTGCTACTAGTGAAAGTAGTCTGTAGGCTAAATGGAAAATGTCTCACTTATTTATAAATTCATTCATTTAACAAATACTAATTGGTAGTTTATTTGTGCTAGGTTTTGTGTTGGGCCCACGCTGTCCAGTATGGCAACCATTAGTCACATTGGCTATTTAAATTTAAGTAATAAAATTAGATACAATTAAAAATTCAGTCCTTCAGTGGCACTAGCCACTTGGCAGTTTTGTTCTTTTGGCTGGTGGCTACCATATAACACACATATAAAACACTTCCATCATTACAAAAAGTTCTGTAGGATAGCACTATCTGAGCGTCTCAGATATGTGGGTGAAAACCCCCAAAGATCACTGCCCTGTGGAGCTTATATTAACAATCAACATTAAAAACAAAAAATTAAATCACGTGGTAGAGCAGGGTAAGGAAGATCAACTTTGGCAGGGTGGGAATGGGGCTGCAGCTTTAAATGGAGTCTTGAGGATAGTCCTCATTGAGACAGTGACTTCTGAGCAGACTTGAGGACTTGTAATCTGAGGCCACCAGCCGTCTGTCAGAGAACAAGTTCAAAGTTCTCAGTGGATCAGGCAGGTGGGAAGTTGAATCGCAGCTGTACCACGCACTGGCTGTGCGACCTAAGTCGAAGTTCTACCACACTGTGCCTCCGTCCCCTCACCGTAGCATGAGACGACGTCTGCTCGTGTTGTTGTTCTAGGTGATTATTAGATTAGGTAATGTATGTATCATGCTCAGTCCTCCACAAATTATGGCTGCTCTCGTTTTGCTAATATTGTTGCCACTGCTGCTACTTCTCTGCACTAGCATTTTGATATTAGCGTAGATGGTGTTGAGGAAGAATAGAGTATTTGGTTCTGCTGCTGATTTGTATGTGAACTTGGGCTGATTGTCTTCCTTCTCTAGGCCATATTTTCCCTTCTTTATGAAACAGGATTTAACAATATCCGAGTCTACTTGACCCTCCAGGATGTTGTGAAATTCAAATCTAAGAAGGTTGGAGGAAGTGTTTTGAAAAGTGTATAATATTGAATGATGTTATCATCAACTCTTCATTATTAAATTATATAGTGGGGTTCATCCATCAGTTCATATCTGAAGTAACGTTATGATTATGAAATCAGCTGTGCCTTATAGGGGAAAAAGTGTCAAAAGTCTGAATGCAGTTTTCTGTTAATCAAATTAGATTTTCCCACTGACTTGAATTATGAATGAAAATCATGATCAAAGTTTTTCGCTTCTCAAGTTCATTGGAATTGTGTTTTCATGAGAAAAATGGGATCCCAATAATAAGTATCAGAGCACATCTTTTAAGAGGACGAAAAATTGCATGAAACAATTTGACTTTTTCTAATAAAACAATAGTTCCAGGCAAGAAGTCAACAAGCATACTATAAAATATATTCCCATGATGAAAATTCATATCAGATGGGAATAAGTGTGCTTTATAGGCTGGCTGGCTTTTTAAATGCCATCTAGAGGGACAGAAGACATTGTTTCTGTATGAAAGGCAGAAGAAGATTCTCAATATTCCAAAGCTAGCCTCAATTTGCCTCTTCTGGGAAGCCTTGTCTGACTAACCAGGAACTCCACTGAATGTTTTCTTACGCAATATCATATTAAGCTTACTTTTGTTCTCTGTTTCTTCTCAGATTGCTATTACTCCCTTTATTTCTCTCTCTGGATGCTTAGCATGTTGTTTACTCATAAAACTAATTTCTGATTTGGTGAGTGAGTAATTTTGAAACATCTATTTAGTTTATTCTATTTTCTTATCTATAATTGTTTGCCTATTCAACAAACAGTTTTCACTAAGGCACTTAGCACTTGATATGTTTATTTTGTTTCCCTGTCAGAGGGGAAAACACCCTTCATTTGAACTCTTTAATCTTTCTGAACAGTGAGGTTGCCATTACTCCATAGAACCTGGACACGTGTAGTCTTTGCTTTCGTCTTAAAGTGGAAGCCAGAATGTAGGTCTGCTCAGCTTGATGGTGATGAGGCTGCTTGGAGTTTTCAGCAAGATTTGTGGCCTACCTTAGAGCTGAGAGTTTAAGTTTTAGAGAAAATAACGAGCTGAATCAATGCCAAAAAACTCCAAACCTGCCTCCTACCAACATTCCCTCCATGCCCATGGCCAGATTTCCAGCATCAAGATGCATTCCTTGGTCTCTTCCAAGAGTCGGATGTTTCTTTTCTTTTCTCTTAAAATGAAAACGAAAGGGAATTTTAGAGGTCGTGAGCAGCTGAGGAGTTTCAGCACTGGAGACCAACTCCATCAGCTTAACTACAGAATGGTTCCCATACAAGAAGACCAGGAGAACACTTGCCAAATAGGTCTTTTTATAATAACTGAAGTAGAATATATGTCGGAGATTTAAAAATGCAGCATTCTGAATTTTGGCTGTAGGGGCTCAGGCAGCACTGAGATATACATGTGAACATCTCTTAATGGAGCTGGTCTTCATCCCTCTGTGCATTCCACATTCCTAGTTCAGAAATAACTGTCAGAACTGTCAGGATTCTGCTGAACTCAGATACAGGTTTCTAGTTTTATCTTCTATAATAGCATCTAAAGTTCCCATCACTGGCACTGGTTTAAATTAAGCAGATACATATATTCTTAAACTGAGCGTGGATCCTGTTCTATAATATCATATAGACTAAGAATTAGAAGGAACCTTACCTATCATCTAAATAAGTACCCTCATTTGGCACATGAGAAACTAAGACCTAGCAAGATGAAATGACTTCTAGGATTTGCACATTTTATTTTCATTTTTTTTGTGAGAAAGACCAGCCCTGAGCTACCATCCGATGCCAATCCTCCTCTTTTTGCTGAGGAAGATTGGCCCTGGGCTAACATCCATGCCCATCCTCCTCTACTTTATATGGGATATCGCCACAGCATGGCTTGATAAGTGGTGCGTCAGTGCACGGCCAGGATCCAAACCTGTGAACTCCGGGCTGCCAAAGCGGAGCGCGTGCGCTTAACCACTGCGCCACTGGGCCAGCCCTGAGTTTGCACACTTGAAACTGAGAAGACTGATAATTACGAACACTTGAGAGGATGTACAAGATCCTCAGCATTGTGTCTTCATTTCCCCTTTATTTAAACAGTAATTTGCCACACTGGTGATGGTAACTTATATTGGGATGATTGATTTGACATTTATAATGAGTAGCCGTTATTAAAATCATCAACAAAATATAGCTACACTTGTGCAAATCTAAAATATTTCCTACAATGTGAAGTTATCCAAAATTTTCTTCAGACTCTTCCAATAGGAAGTCAAATCTTTGACTAAAAAGATACTTTACATATAACTCCAACAACAAAATCTGTAGATTTAGGGCTGTTTTCCTTTGACTCTATCAATCATTTTAAATATTAGCTATAATAAATTACTGACTGTGATAGATTTGTATTGCATACCCTGGCATGTGCCATCCTCATTTCTGACACCAGACCACTCTGCCACCACAAACATAGCATTGAGAGCCAGAGCTCAAAACATCAGCTCTTCTTGGTACCACCAACACAGTACTGTCTTCTATATTTTTGCTCTCTGATAATCTTCAGAGCAAGTCATTTAACTTTCCCATGCTGATTCCTTCTCTATAAAATGGGGAATAACAACTCTTTACAGAGTTGTTATAAGGATAAAATAAAATCATGATTATGAAAGTACTTTAAGTATTTTCTATTAATCTCTCAGGTTGTGAACTAATGTGAAAGCTTCACAAAGAAATTCTTAAGCATCGTTGATTTCCACAAGGTGGTCAGGGGTCTTAGAACTTAGTATGTCCATTCTTGACATACTATTTGCACATAGTAATCTCTAGACCATTCCTGTTTTTTCAGCATTTTACGGAGGACTTCCACAACCGTGACACATACAGACATCTAGAAGTTCATCTTACGTTGGTTTATATAGTCTCTCTGCACTGTAAAATAAGAGTTTCCACTGTCAATATACCCATATTTACGCTGTCTCTAAGTTACATTTGTTCCTGGGAAAGGTACAGAGAGCCAGAAATCTGCCTTCATCGTCTGAGATTCCTTCTCCTGGTGCCTGTCAAGCAGCTGCTCTGATAAACTTTCCAATTGCTTTCTAAACTTGCCCAACAACTTTCAGAAAACCAGCATGACCTGCCAATATTCTTCCTCTCTTGAAATGCCACAATCTCACTTTGAATTATAAATAATCTCTGGGCTTGTTCCCTCCTCTGTAAGATATATAAAATCATTCCTCTCCCTCTGCCTTTTTAATAGATATTTCTTAAGAATTAATGAGATAATGGCTGTTCCCTGAGCACTTTGGGGGTGGGGGGGATGTTGTGATGGTTCCGGAGACACTAGTCTCTTGAAACTTCCTGGAGCCAAAAGCCTTCAGTTGTAATTCGGTCACTTTGGCGAGGATCATAGCTGTAATTCTCAAATCCCAGACTTGGTGTCTCAGTTTATTGGGGAGGGGAGAAGGGGAGAAGGAGAACATTGTTTGAAAGGCTGACCATAAATTTATATGGTTTTCATAACCTGTTGCCTTCCAAGTTTATATAATTTCAGCTTTTGTGTACAAAGATAATTTCTCTGGGCTGCTTGGTAAGGTATGTGCATTATTTTTTTCCCCCAGGAGTGAGAATGAGTTTGCCAACCCCTTTATATTTCTCATGTGTTTGAAAAATGAGCAGTGAGGTTAGGGGTTATCGTCTATAGA